TGACATTGTAATCTTATATCCACGGTTAGTCAGCGAATCGTCGTCTAGACGTTAGAGACGCTCGTGTTGGATTTATTTGTGACTGTGGATTCCCACCTGTTGCCTCCCGCACCCCTTTAGAATAGCTTTACAACGAAGACTCTTCTATCTCTCTCTCTCTCTATCTATCTATCTATGTATCTATCTATCTATCTATCTATCTATCTATATATATATGTCTATCCATCTTTCTCTTCTTTTTCATTAACCTTTTCGCTACGGAGCGCTTGCGCCACACACAATGTGATCGCTGTGAACGGACCGCATTACTCTTCGCATCCACGCGCCCACTTTTCCAGAGCGTATATATACGCTCTTTATACATGAATGGTCATTCTTCGAGGGCGTATATATACGCCCGTCAGAGCAAAAGGGTTAAATACGAATGTCCTTTCACTTTCTTTTTTCCCCCCGTTGCAATCGTTTTGTATTTTACATTGTAGATTGACGCATTAGCGGAATTTTGTTGCGGTGGACGTTAATACGTAAGTAGTACCAACAAAAAAAACAAAAACAAACAAATAGATATAAATAAAAAAGGGGTGTGTAGTAGTAAGTGGGATTGGTAAAAAATAAAAAAGAAGAAGGAATAGAGAAAGAGAGAAAAAGAAGAGTTATATGGATCTTGACAAGGCGACTTTATTTCTCGGCCGAACCTGTTGCTGTTGTACATGAAGCATTGCCTTCTTCATCGGTCCTTCTCACTTTCCATTGGATCGTTCTTCCTTTTATTCTGGCGAGTGCAAGAAAGAAAGAATGAATGAAAGAAAGAAAGAAGGAGAGAAGGAAGAGGATAAAGAAGAAAAGAGTCCCGGAAGGGTAGGAAAGAGGAAAGAGGAAGGGTCTGAAGAACCCAACGGAAGTCAAAGACTATGCATCCATGGAAAGCCCTGCCGCGGGCGGTACGATGAAATGCAAGGTCGTTTCAATATTACGTAATGCTATAAGAGAAAGAGAGAGAGAGAGAGAAAACGAAAGAGAAAGAGAGAAAGAAAAGAGGACCTCGAGTATAGTTACGACGGATGATATGCAAGAATACTCGTGAAAGATTCATCTCCGTGTTTCTCTTTCCCTCTTACCCTGAGGCTAAAATTCAGCCATTGTCTTCTTTTAAAATTTCCTATGTTGTTCGTTCGAAAAAATAAAAGATTGTCGTTTAAATAACAAATAATATTGTCGTGGCATTTCAATTTTGATTGATGTAAATTTGTAGATATTTATTCAATAACGAAATATAAATGTTTCTCATATATATTTGGATATATCAAATTCAATTATTTTCCAATGATTTTTATTATTGAGCGAGAAAGAAAAAAAAAAGAAACTATTTCTTTTATATATAAAATCGAAAGATGTGAAACTATTATTTTAAAAATGAAAATTATTATACCTTCCTGTTGGAAAGATAAATAAATAAATAAATAAATATATATAAGAAAGAGTGAAAAAGAAAGAAAGACATTTAATGAAAGCACCGGTAGGTAGGTACGTACGGATTCATTGTTTTCGTTGAAAATACTTTAAATTATTTACAACGTCATTAATCAAGCACCTTTTCCAAGACTAAAGCTGTAAAATGCCGAGGCAATATAGAAGTGGATGTAAATCGTAAAAAAGGGTGCTATCGAAGATAGAAACGACGCTTTCAACGTCCTATCGGATACTGCACGTAAATGTCTATAAAATGAAATTGTTGTGTAGTTAACGAATGCAGTCTCGAATCAGATCTACTATTCGTCATGAAAAAAAAAAAAAAAAAATTATTTTATCAAATACATCAATAAATTTATTTCTTTATTGAATTAATTTTACATCGTTTTATTATTTAATTTTGAAATATTAAACAAAACAAAAAACAAAATAAATAGAATTTATTGTATTAGAATATTTGTTAATATATTAAGTATTATATATTACATTAAAGTTCAAAAATATCAAAAAAAAAAAAAAAAATTAGCTAACCCAATGATACTTAAAATAATATAAATAAATGATTAAAAAATGGTTCTTCTACTTCTCCCTCTCCTCCAATTTCAATAGAAATTTCTTTCTCTTATTCGTTGATGTCGTTTACTAGGGAGACTATAAAAAAAAAGAAAAAAAAAAAAAATTGTTTTTCAACTGAAGCACTCAAATAAATGAACCCGTCAAGGAAATACCGAGGTAAAGCGTTGGTTGCCCTTTTCTGAAGGGTCTCCTCCTCGATCTCTTCTCCCTTTTTCACGATTTTATACTTTATCGCGTCTTCTTGTAGTTTACTAGCAATCGTTATTCCTCGGCTTTACAATGTTCGCTTTACGATTTTCCTGAAGTAACACAAACTCTTCTTCCCAAGAAGATCTAATTCAACCTTTTTTCTTTTTCAAATAGTTTCCCCTTCTTCTTCTTCTTCTTCTTCTTCTTCTTCTTACTACATTTACCGTTTACGATTTAGGTCAGAATTGTGCGAAACGAATGCATTCGCAAATTCGTTTTTGTCTTATTTGCTCGATAAATAAAATGCAATTTTGTTGGTTTATGATAAATATAAGAAAGAGTACCTTATGAACACCTTTGTTCTATTGAATTGTTTGAAAAGTAGTTTCGTTTGCTTTTTTATATGAAAATGAAGACAATGTTTGCTTTGAGATTAAACCTGGACCATTCAAGTGGACATAATCTGTTAAATTTGATAAATTTCACATCTCACCGATGATCTCACGTGTTGTCATTTGCCGGTTTGCCGAAACTACTTTCCAAACAACCCAAAGAAGGGACAGAAAGAAACCAAAATTGCGATTAAAGAAGAACAAATTGTTGTTAAAAAGAAAAGATATTATTAATTCGATTAATTACGTTTCGTCGTCATACCAATCTCTCTCTCTGATAGTTTCTAATTTAAAAAAAAAAAAAACACACATTTTTTTTTTGTATTTTATTCTAAAGTACAAACGGCACATCGTCAAACTCTCGGATCTCGCGAATGAACGACGAAAAAAGAAAAGAATGCGACGACGAGGCGACAAGCTAAAAATACATTCTCTCATTTATATGCCCGACCTACTGTGTTGTACATCTTCGATCGTCTTAAGGATCCACTGAGTTTTACGAGCAAATAAGAGAACAACAACAACAAAAATACACAAGAAGGGGGTGGGAGAGAGAGAGAGAGAGAGAGAGAGAGAGAGAAAAGACCGGTACTTTTATTCGTCGTCGTCGATAAACAAAAGTTTTTCGTATATAATAACATTGTTGATAAAAGATCAAATCGAAGAAACCTACGAAGAAATATGCAAAAACGAAAATCAACAAAATTAGGTTCGCAATCATGACGTTCAAGAAAGAGAAAGAGAGAGAGAGAGAGAGAGAGAAAATATACAACTTTTCATCCTTTAATTCACATTTTTTTTCCATCGAGTAACCAGTTAAATTCTACCAACGAAGAGTAAGCAAGCGAATCAGAAAGAAAGAAAGAGAGAGAGAGAGACAAAAAAAGAGATGGTCGGGGTGCAATAGAGCATACGATGCGTCTAGACAAAATAATGATTTGGATTTCAATACATTTGCATTCATTTCCAGAGTCCCTCTCAACACTACCGTTCGTCCCTTTAACATCAGGCACTCACTTTCTTTCTCTCTCTCTCTCTCTCGTAGTGTGGTGTGTATGTGTGGGATAATTCTCTTTCCTTTTCCACCCTCTCTCTTTCCTGTAGCTATTCTATACGTTTCACAGGAGTTACGCTCGTTATCATACGAATGCTTTGCTCGTACCGTCGGAACTCGTTTTGCTGTCGTCGTCATTGGCACCGTTGTCGTCATAGTCATCCTTGTCGGAGGAAGAAAAAATAGAGAGAGAGAGAGAGCGAACAAATATACAATTCAGATTAAATTTGATCTACAAATGTAACGAAGAGATACCTGACCGAAGGAACGAATTTTTGTATTAAAAAATTAGATCATATCTTTTTTCCATTTGCGAATTTTACACATCAGGTGAAACATTAAATTGTTATTTATGTTTAACATACTGACCTACATTCGTTTTTAATTAACTATCATTATTAACACATTGACTGTCGTCTCGTCAAATATTTAATTATGAATTAATATGAATTTAAAATGAAATGAATATCGACAACTAAAATATTTTGAATATCATTGTTAATTGGGCAGTGTCCTTAGTGTCATGAATTAAGTAATTTACTCTATTCAAGTGGTTTGCAAACTTTTTTGTCCTATCACCCCCCTTTCTTGACAAAATATTGCTTATTGCTCCCTTACCCATTGGAAATATGGAAATACTTTGATGACCTTTTTTTACAGTCGCACCAATCGCCTCCCCCTGCCCCCTGAACCGCTTCAATCGCCCACCAAACCCACCAGACGCACAGATATAAAAACAAAGAAGCCTAAATAAGGGAATTTCTTTGTAATATTTTATTACTATTGACAGAGTATCGATATACCGACATTGTTGTGTAGTATAGTATAGCAGCACGAGTCAGACTCCGCTGACATTTTTTCCTTTTTAGTGGTTCATTTCCCCCACCCTCAAAGTTCACCTGTGCTCGTCATCGCCCCCCTGGACCACTTCATCGCCCACCAGGGGGCGATATCGCTCACTTTGGGAACCACTGCTTCATTCGATACAGGTAGCTCTTCTACAACACGGTATCTTATAACACTGCATTTCTAGGAACCTATCTACCGTGTTATAGGAGGGTTGCCTGTACTTATAAATTGTATTTAAAATATATATATATATATTGTATTAGAAAAAAATATATATTTTATTATTCTTTTGTGAACCCCCTTAGAACGTTTTGCTAATCTAGAGTGTCAGTCAACGTGTTTAATATAAAATAATGTCGATAGTATTATTTATTTTTAGATTATTTATTCTTATGCTTACCTATTGTTAATTGAAGCCCCCTTTTATTTTATGAATAAATTTATTGAAAAAGTAAAAAAAAAAGACTTACCGGTTCGGTTCTACCATCGCCATCTTTTCCTAAGGAACGACCTTCAGACCATCCCATTTTAGATAATAACTTGAATCCCCGATTATCTTTTGCTATCGATCTGTAATAAAAAAATACACAAATAACAATGATATTATTTATTCATAATTTAATGTAATATTTAATTGTCTCACTTACTTTTCCGTAGAACTCTGTTCAGTCTTGGCATGATGATTTGATGAACCAACATTCTTTCTACGAGCTTGTGCTCTATCCTGATAACCGGTTGCTAATTGACTGGCAGACGCAGCATTATCTTTTTCTATTCCAAACTTCGTTTTTAATCTTCTTAATTCTTGTTTATGAGTAGTCTTTTTTGACAGTACATTTTCTTCTGTATTTGCACTGTGTTGAACTAATCCTGGTTCACAGTGACCGCAAGTTTTATTTCCACTATGTATATGACATAACAGTTTTGTATTACCCACTTGAATTATTGAACCATGTACTATCTCATATGACACAGACTCTTGTTTAGCTACAGACAATCTTTTCCCATTTAAAAATGTACCATTCCTCGATCCTGAATCTACTATCCAGTAAGAATTCGTTTTCTCATTGTAGAAGAATCGTGCGTGATACTAAAATTATTGACCATTTAATAAATATTATATAATCGAATTGTTATATCTCTTGTATGTTTAAAATAATATTTTAAATCTTATTCTTATTACTTACCTTACTGACATTCATATCTGGTATTACAACTAAATTATCTTCTTCTTTACCCATTGTACCACCTGTGTATGCTATGAGGAAGAGCGAGCCAACTTTTAATTTTGGAAGGTTTGTTTCTTCAACTATAATTCTCATGCATGGTGGATACGTCTTTGCTATATCTGAAATAAAAAATATATTTTTATATTTACATATAATTATATTTATTAATATATATTGAATGATAGTTTTTTTTTGATATAACATTATTATTTGTATTCTAGTAAATATATTTAAACGTGATACGAAAACCGAATAAAATAAAAAAAATAAAAAAAAAAAAAGATAGAGAAGATAACAAAAATATATGTGCATGCACACACTTTGCTCAGAAGGCACGTTCGTTTGCAAATCATCTTCGCAATAATGATATCAAAATATCATGTGTGCAAATCACACACGTTAGAATTGAAACCTTCGAAAAAAGCAAGTTTTGAGAAAATGAGACGAATACTGAATATCAGGATTAATATTATATAATATTATTTTTGTATATTGCTACAGTAAGTTATATTATTTTTATTGGAAATATAATAGCAAAGTATAGCGTATTTTTTTTTTACAAAACGTGTCAAGTTTCTTCTTAACACATTAAGCGCCACGCGAATTCTTAGGGAAATTCCCGTCAGGCCACAAACGTTACTTTGTATTGAAAAAATAGTTGAACAACACATAGAGAAAACCGAGAATAGGAAAAACTGTATATTACATATTCTATCTCATTCTCTCGCAAGCTAAATCCTATAGATATATATATATATATATATATGTTTGTCTCTTTTTCTCTATTTTTCTTTCTTCATCGCATTTTTGTTCCCTCCGTTTTCAAGTTACCCCCATTCTAAAGAAAAATCTTCACTTCAATAATTCAACCTTGTTCTTCCTCATTTTCAGTCTCACTATTAGTGGACAATTCTGGTGTAATGTTACAAGAGCTCTGTTCATTATCGCTGTCCGTGTATTCATCATCCTCTTCAGACTCATCTCTTAACTTCTCTCCATCTTGATCGAGTTTGCGTTTTTTCAGCGTATCCTACAAGAGAGATATGTGTGCATATTAAAAGCTCAAGACATTTACCCAGAGCATGACGTCTGTATCTTTCAACTTTTATATTTGAAAGTCCACTTATTAACTCATTTATCTCATCCGAAACCTGAAACGAAATAAAAATCAAATATATACAGCAGGTGGTAACTTTGTTTACATTTCAACAATTTTTACTCTCTTATATTGTTGTATCTATGATATCATTGTCCTTAAATTATTTATTAAATTTGTTTGCCTTTTTGCTATCTGTATTTTCTTCCATTTTGATTTCTTCGGAATGTGCAATATTATCCGTAACTGCATGCGCATGACTGTGAAACTTGTACGTTTTACTGCTCTCATCATAATAATAATATATTCCAGAATTTCCATCATAATAAAGTCCTTGTTTCTATACACAATATATATATTTAATATATATCAATATATTATTATGTAATTAATAATTAATATATGACTTTATATATATATATATATAATAGTAACTTACAGCGTCATAATAATATCCTGTACTATAATTGTAATATAATCCAGAAGTTTCCTCATATACAAAACCATTCTGCAATGAGACAGATTCTGCTACTTCCTTTACTTGCTCAACAATACTATTTGATTTTGTATTATTACTTAAATCCCAATTTAATGTTAAAGATTTGTTTTCGTATTCTAAAGGATCTGTTTGAGTACCATATTCTACAAAATTCTTATTCTGCATTTGATTTAAATTTTTCTATAAAAAAAGAAAAAAAAAGACAATATTAATAAGTAGACAATAACTAATTGGATAGATTACTTTTAAGATGATATCATTATGTTACGTATATACCTGTTTTTGTAATTTATTATATAATTTTCTGATCTTTTTACGTTGCTTCTTGATAGTCTCTCGCATTTCACGTATAAGTTTTAATACATGAGGTAAAGATTGCAACTCTTCATCTAAATCTTCACCAAAATCAGATTCTATTTCTCCTTCCTCGCTTTCACTTAGCGTATCGTGCTCCATCATCCTTTTCTCTATTTCTTCGTGACAATAAAAATCAGATATACTATAAACAAAGTTTTATAAAATTACAATTGCATAACTATAAATATTCTTTTTTTTCTTTTTTTTTTTTCTAATAATAAAATCATTAAGAGAGCAATGCTTAATGTTACAATATCGAAATAAACAACAAACAATAAAATAATTTCAAAATCAAATACAATTCGCTTAGGATATTTACTGATTAATAATAAAACTTAACAAATAAATCTTATTTCTTAATAATAAACATTAAAAGTATTATTTACACAAACCTTGTATAAAATTGAACAAAAATGATAACAATACAATGTTTTTATAACCAAATGCAATTCGTTCGCATATTTACTTTGAGTTGGTTAACAGTGTATCTGGACGAATTAATGGAAATAATGTCGAGCAAATAAAAAAACAAAAATATAATTTATTTCAATTCAATAACACATATATTAATTCGCGTAATGAATAGCAGAACGATCGTTAGAATACAAAAGAAATCGAGCTTATTGTATGGTAGATAACCACATTCCCAATATTCTGCTCGTTAGATGTTGTGCGTGGAACACTTCTACTAGCTGCTTGTTGGATGTTGATGTGAAGCGTCTCATTAGCTGCCAATAGAACGGCAAATGTAAAAACGCCTTTATATGATCATGAGGAGGCGCCGAGATGTGAACTATACTCCCCACAAATGGAACATATGTAGCGACATCTAGAAACAGCTGTTTGTTACACCCCTAATTCAAGATGGCTGCTCCCAGGCCAACGGAAGTCTTTAGAATGACATTTGTTTGTTGAAAGCGCAAAAGAACGCGTTAAGATTTCATTAGTTCATGGAGTTTAATTATTATCAATAATTATTGAAATTTAATTGACATTACGTGTTGCATATCCGTATTATAACATAAAGACTCACATACGGTTTTTTTTATTCGTTTTGCGAATGTTCTCTAATACTACTTGGCAGATGCAAGTATTGGGCAGTGTTTTGTTAAAATATTATTTAAAACTGTATCTTTGTTGCATCTTCAGGACATGAGACAATGATGCCATTAAAGGATAACCAGGATGTTGCATGCTTTCTGGTCACCAAACACTCATGGAAGGGAAAGTAAGTCTATATTAGAATTTTGATTTATTTTTTTTATTATTTCGTAGAGATTGTTTTCAATATATTCATTCTTTCAATTAAATTATATGACAGTGTAGACAAATTATTTTTTATAATCCATTTTACAAAACTTTAATGTTAACACATATATTTTGTACATTATCTATTTTATCATATTCAGATAAGGTAACATTTTATAAAATGTTAACTATGTTATCAATATTTAAATATTTGACAAAGATTATATATACGATATAATAATATTTAATTGATGAAACTATTGAAAGATTATATTTTTGTATGTTTAAAACCCTTTTTTTAAATTGAAAATGCATATAAATATAAATTACTATGAAATTTATATTAGGTACAAACGTATTTTTTCCATTGGATCCATGGGTATTACGACATATAATCCTGGGACCTTAGAGGTCACTAATAAATGGGAATACTCTGATTTTATTAGTGTACAACCTACAAACAAGCATCAATTGGGTTCCTATGAATTCAGTATAACTATGCGCAAAGAACGTAAAGTTGATACAATGAAATTTAGTTCTGAACATAGAGCACATTTGTTAACAGAAGCACTCAAATATAGAAATCAGTTTGCAGAAAAATCAAAAGAAATTCTGGTGAGTCATCGGTTCTATATGTGTTTTCCTATATGTAGTGAGGTTTTGTATTAAATTTCATGAACGCATTTGCTATTACTTTAGCCATATGGTCATATAGTCATATGTATGAGATAGTATTATATACTATCAGTCTTTTATCATTGTGAATACTTACATAAATATACACACATATATATATATATATATAATTTTTATTATGAACATATATAACTCACCGTTATGTTAGTATGTGATATTTTATATAGCAAAAACTTACTTATAGCAGTGTGATATCTTCCCTATTTATAGAGATATCAAGCTTATAAATGTCACTGGTCCGATACAAGATTACCAGTAGTATTAGAAGTAACTCCATACAGTCTTGATCAACTGGATCCTGCAACGAACATGGTACTCTCCAGTTATTGTTATAAAGATTTTGAAGGCATTGCTACAATGAAAGATTACCCTAATGGATTTGTGATTGTTTGTGGTGGATTTGGACGTTTACATCTTTTTGCATCTACTCATATGGAGGAAATAAAAAAGAAGCTGTTGGAATCAGCAATAAATAATTTAGGAATTAATATAAAAGTCTTAAAGGAACCAATAAAACTAGATGATTTTATTGCACAAAGATTAGGAAAATTTAGTAGCGATGAGCATATTACAAGCGGTTCAGAATTTACTGTTCATAAAATTTCACCTAGACATTCAGAGCCACAAAAAAGAACGCTTTGTCTTTCCGATAGTTGTTTATTGGAAAGGGACCCACAGACATATAATATTTGTACACTTAGACCACTGTCAGATATTTTTGCCCTTATTCGTGATAATGCAAATCCACAATTATTTACGATACAATATTTAAATGGTCAAACAAGGAGTTATACTGCAACAGACAGAGATTCTCTGTTAGCTTCGTTACTTGACGGTGTGAGAGCATCTGGAAATAGAGACGCTCATGTAAGAATGTATCCAATTGCAAGGGGAAAGAGGCTAGGACCTCTTAATTTACCAGTTGATGAAGAAGTTGAAATATCACATGTTAAATTCTTACAACAGCCACCAGGAGGACGTACTTTTGCAGAAATTCTGGAAAGATTTAATGCCAATATACCGTATAGTGGTCTCAATTATTCGATTACTCAAGATGTAAGAGAACATTCATATTGATAATTAAAATTAGGATATTTCTCAGTAAACAGTATGTCTTAATATTTAAACTAACAATATAGGCCTACAGTACATTGAAGCGGTTACAATTGATCAAGACGGAAATATCTCGGAACCTATGCCTATATCAATAATGACATGGGTACTAAATAAATTGTAATGGGGAAACTACTGTTACTAAAAACATAAATATCTCTGTGACATCATTAAAAAAAAATTGAACTGAGGTATTTCTGTCTGATATCATAAATAGAAAAACATGCAAACTGAGATTTTTTCCCTTTGTTCAGGATGGTACACCGCTTGAATGGACTGTACCAAGCTTACAGCTTCAACTGTACAGTGTGATGAATAACTACTTACAGGGACTTTTTACTGAGAATAAAGAGAAAATTATACTTGCTGCCTTAAGCATGTTAGTCAATAAAGAATTAGAAGGGAATGATGAGATCGAAGCACAGTTTCATGCCATACGAAGATTGGTAGCAAGTAAAGTTGGATTCAATGCGTTCACCTCTTTACCTGGATTTAGAGAAGCTATCGGTAATAGAGTTGTAAAGGCATTAAAAAGACAAGATTATGGCGTTACACAAGCTGCTATAGATTGCATTTGTGCACTTATGCAACCAATGCACGATGATTGTGACCTAAGGCAAGAACAATTAAACAAAAGCAGTCTACTTAGTAGTAACAAATTTTTAGAAAGTTTACTTGAAATGTGGATTAATCATATTGTAAGTATTTCAATGTATGTATATATATATATACAAAATATACATATATGTGTCTTGTTTAGCCTTGAAATTAAAAAAGAAACTTCAAGTATATACTTTGAACATTTCAGAATCATGGCACTGGTGCTTTAGTAGTTTCTGCCATGCTTGATCTATTAACTTTTGCATTATGTGTACCATACAGTGAAACCACGGATGGCAAACATTTTGACAACCTTTTAGAAATGGTTGCAGCAAGGGGTAGATCACTTTTCAAATTATTCCAACATCCATCATTGGCTATTGTAAAAGGGGCTGGTTTGATAATGAGAGCGATTATAGAAGAAGGTGCACCTGAAGTGGCTGCAAAAATGCAAGAATTAGCTCTTGCCGAAGGAGCTTTACCAAGGCACCTTTTATATAGTCTCTTTACTATTGGCAATGACAGTAGACTTTTAACGCATAGACAACTATGTAGACATTTAGTAGGATTATGGGTGACAGGACATCCTACTGCTATGGGATTATTAAAACGAATTATGGTAAAACTATTATCTTATTATAATCAAAGCAATTACTAACTTTTGTATTTGCTTTCGTGCATTTACATTGTTTACAAAACTTATATTATTTATATATTATCTTGTATAGCCCGTTGGTTTGCTAAATTATTTAGACTCCAGCGAAAAAGTTCCTGATTCATTCCTCGAAGAAGAAAGATTAAATAATCGTGATAATTTAAAAATAGCAATAGACCATGCATCGAAAAATAAAAAAAGTCCGCAGTGGATTATGATCGAGCGTCAAATGCGATTAGTTGAGAAGCATGTGGAACATGCTCTTCAGCATTGGGGTGCACGTGTCGGTATAGAAAGACGAGAAAAGATCAAAGAACGTCCAATAGTCTTAAGAAAACGCAGAGAAAGAATTAAGTCTGAAGCAAATTGGAAATTGTTTTATTATAAATTCAATCAAGATCATTCGTTACCTAATTTAATATGGAATCATAAAACGAGAGAAGAATTAAGAACTGCTCTCGATCACGAAATACGTGCATTTACGTCGGATAAAGAATTAGCAGGTGGAACCTTGATTGCATGGAATTACAGAGAATTCGAAGTGCAATATCAGTGCCTATCAGATGAAGTCAAAATTGGAGATTATTACTTGAGGCTGTTATTAGAAAAAGATAGCCCAGACAGTCCAATTCGAAAATCGTATGTAAATACATATACAATAATAATATATTAAGATGTTTTTTTAAAATGTAAGATTATATTGTAATAAAATATATATATATATATATTAACTTATTTTATTTTTATAGGTATGAATTTTTTAATGACTTATACCATAGATTCTTATTAACAACAAAAGTCGAAATGAAGTGCCTTTGCTTGCAAGCAATGACTATAGTGTATGGACGATATTACGAAGATATTGGACCATTCTCAGACACAAAGTATATAGTAGGAATGTTGGATCGGTGCACCGATAGGATGGAGCGAGATCGATTAGTTATGTTCATAAAAAAACTCATCTTACATAGAAGAAACGTTAAAGAAATAATGGATCAGAATGGAGTACGAGCGCTCGTAGATCTTTTAACATTAGCACATTTACATACTTCTCGTGCTGTGGTACCAACACAAACTAATGTCATAGAAGCAGGTCCACAACAAGAGAGGATAATGGAAAAAGAATGGTATTATAATGATGGTGACACGCGTAAAGGTCCCATAAATTTAAAAGATCTTAAAAATTTGTATACGACAAATAAGATAACTTATAAAACAAAGGTTTGGGCACAAGGATTGGATGGATGGAGAATGATATCTCAAGTACCACAATTGAAGTGGACTTTGGTCGCAAGAGGAATGCCAGTAATCAATGAAAGTGAATTAGCAACATTGATTTTAAATATTTTAATTAAAATGTGCGAATACTTTCCAAGTAGAGATGCGGACGATGCTGTGATTAGGCC